TGTGTACAACTCAATGTGCTAGTCATAGATTACTTTTAGTAGCACCTGCTTGGTTTATAGTTCAAATGAAGCGGTCGTCAGCCTGAAATATGTCGGGAATAATTCTGACGCAAATGCTATGAAATGTTTTCGACACCTTAACTCAAACTCACGAGTGCCTAAGTCTAGAGAGTATATGTAGCTAAAGGAAATGCATTCCCTAGCAATTTCTTCTTCACTGATAATTCGTGGTTGCAACGCTCGAAGTGTTGACATGAATAGAGTTCTGCTCGGCGTTAACTGTATTCCCATTTTGATCACCAATAGAACGACTTAGCCGATGCATGTCTGCCACATTTTCACATTTCTAGCTGAAAAATTTCACCAATTATCTTGCCACTGTTCTAGAAGATAATGTAGATTCCCCGCAAGCTTCTTGAAGACCTTCATGACACTGTCCACGATCTCTGGCACATTAAATTTTAATCCAACTCCATTGTTCTTGCTTCGAAACTGTCATAAGGCTCTGCTTTACACATCAATGCATATGCGCGTGATGTTGATGTGAGAGTTCATTAGCTCCTAGTCTGCGGTAAGGTAGATATATGACTAATGCTCAATTGCTCAAATTAGAATCCTCGCAATTAGAATTCTACTCACGGCTCACACCGAGCACAATGCTGACGTAAAATGTCCTCAGTGGTAGAAGGTTCATCGGTCCGAATCCCTTTGCTGTTGTTGTTCATTTACGTCGCACTAGAGCTACACAATGGGCTATTGGCGACGGTCTGGGAAACATCCCTGAGGATGATCCGAAGACATGCCATCGCAATTTTGATCCTCTGCAGAGGGGATGGCACCCCCGCTTCGGTAGCCCGACGACCTGCACGCGAAGTCGAGCACTTTACGGTAGCACAGTTTAACGAGGACCAATACCGCACACCCTCGGTCCCTACGCACACTGATCCAAGTGGTCACCCACCCGCACACTGACCGCAACCAGTGATGCTTGACTTCGGTGATCTGCTGGGAACCGTGTCTTAACGATCAGTCCACTGCGGGACAGAATCCCTTTGCAGTTGCAATTCATGGGAAGTTTTCAAAGTTGTTCTCTACGTGGAACGTATGTGCAGGTTAGTTCCATCAAAAAGTCCTCTACGAAGGCTTGTTGTCTCAATGCTAGAGGAAAGGGTTTTCTTGTCTTTTGGATTGAATTCAAAATTACAAAGCGACAAAGCTGAACTTTGATAGTCTATTGATGAAGTTGATACGGAGTTGAACATTAATAAATATTGATAGTCAAAAATAAGTCGCCAGTTATAGAATAACGTGTGGTATAAGCGACATCGTTCGATTCTGTTGCATGTTTTTTTTTTCAGTACTGCTACCCCCATAACAGATTTAGCAGCCCCTTTCAGAAAATGTACTAAACATGTTTCCCCTGCCAAAAAGACGTTTAAGTATTTGAGTACCAGCTATTATTCTCTACAGATTACGAACGGACATGCTTCGTTCGAAAAGCTTTCGGTTTAGTTTACGGAAAGAGAAATTTACGGTCAAGAGGCATTACCATAAAATTAAGGGACCGGTCATACTCTGTTCATAACACTCAACCAGTTTAAGTTCCAACTCTCATATTCAGAATAGTGATTAGAGGATAATCTGTATTGAAGGGTTAATATTTTTGATCAACAAAAATTTGCAAAATTTCCAACCAAATTACTGTTTTATAATTTAAATTTGAAAAAAATAGTGATTGTCTTGTAAAAGTTTAAAAATAAAAAATACATAATAAATGATAATCCTATAATGAATAAAAGATTTATTTGCATTTCAAATCTTCGTTTAGTATTACAGCTATGAAAAAGAAATCAACTTCCAATAAACCATTTTACATTAATTAAAGTATTACATAAATACATTCGATTAAAATGCACATGTAACAAAAATGACTAGTTTAATGATATAAACAATGCATATTTACAATTAATAAAAAGAAATAGTTCATTTCCTCAATGAAGTGGAACTTTTCATAACAATATTCTTTTATATATTTATATATATTATGACGATATAAATAACTGGTTATTATTTTCATTCCTAAATTCTTACACTTCTAAGCATTTAGAGCTATAAACATACGACAAAACCCTTTTTACACATTCTTTTTATATCATTCAAGACACAGATATTTTAATTTATGTAATAAATATAAGATTTTTTTTTTACATATGCGTTAAGACATAATTATTATTCCACAATAGAAACAACACAAATCTGTCAGTTTCACTTCAGAATGAAGCAACATTACACAAATAAATATATATTCTTGTAAAGAATACAAAATATAATCATCACACCACGTTTCTTTACATAGATTTTTCAGAAACATCACACATATGCAATATTCCCTAAACATAAAATAGTAGGGGGGGGGAACATTTCAAGCAATTTTTAGTATTTAAGAGGTAAAAGACTGTCGAATTCTCTCTTTTTTTCATGAAATAAAATGTACTAACTCACCCTACTTTTATAGCTGTGATAGTTGTATTTGACAAGAAGTCTTGGCAATTTCTAATTTTATTTGATTTGAGGAAGTCACAGATTAGACTTAAATCATGTGTTCAAATTTTGAAACTTAGTACGAAACAAAAAATCAGTTAAATTACTTCAGTTTTTTAAATTGAAATTAAATTATAAGACTAAAATATCACAATTTATTACAAACAAGAAAATATCACAGAAACACAATACATCTAAAACAAATAGCTAATAGCAAGAGATTCCTTAAAAGGTTGTACGAGAAATATTAAAACAAAAGCAACATTCCTTAACATAACTCAATACATCTTATACATGTAATATTTATAGATATATAATAAACAAAAAAATCTTCATATTTATGAATGCTAAACATCCTTCATTAGATCTAAACGATTTTCAAAATTGAATCTTTTAGTAATAGAAAGCTTTGAAATGTATATAACTTATATTTGAAAACATATTTGATTGATAAGTACTACTAAAAAAAATATAATATAATAGCAAACCTTTTAATACTCAAATAAATAATTATCATATAAATAAATTAAATTCCGATAAGATTAATATATTTTTTAATTTAATGAGTAATTGCACCATCTAATGTATGAAAAATAAGATTTAAAAAATCATATAATAAGCTAATAATAAATGTATTATAAGAGGCATAATTTTCAAAATGTTTTATTGAAATGTTAGAAAAAATTAATGATTGATTGATTTGATGTAGTAAGTAATAAGATATGAAGAAAAAAATTGAAGAGTCATAAAAGTTTTAAAAAAAAAGAAGAAATATTGAATAAACTTCATTATCCTACTTTAGAATGATATTTTAGAAAACTTATATNATATATATATATACAGGTACAGGGCAAAATAATAGGAACACCTGCACATAGTACCACTATGCACAGGTGTTCCTATTATTTTGTCCTATACCTGTGTATATATATAAACATGTAACGTTTGCAGTCATGGACCTGTCATTCCGTGAAATGTCTCGATTTAGGGAAAACTTAGTCATTGTAATTGGTTTATTAAGTAGATGGCGCGATTCTCACAAAGAGTAAAGGGAATAATGTCTTACTTTTAATAAATGCATGCTTGAGCCAAAAATAGATTTAAGAACAGGATGTGAATTTAAAAGTGTGAGAAAGTGTTTCGATTAGAATAATAAATTATGGAAAGGATTTACAGAAAAGAAATAACATAAAAAGATTAATTGAAGCTTTTTATGTTACATATAAATATATTTATAGGAAATTTTTTGTTATTTGGCCCAGGTCTCTAAATATTTTCTGTTAGTTTTGATGTCCTGTAATTTGCACTATAAACTAATTCATTAACTAATTCACCACTTTTACAGTTTATCACTTTAACAATAAATAAGTTTTTGACAGCAAATTAAGACATTGATGAATAAATATTAATTAACAGAGTTTGAGATTATAACACATACTATGCATAAATTTGATACATATAACTCTCCCATTAATTCATAAGAAGGTTTTAGGCTTGCCTCACCTCAACAAACGAGAAAATCAGTAATCAAAGTTTAATTATTTGACTTTGTCTAGATATATTTCATGACTATAATTATCCATAGTTTTAAAACATAAACAACAGTGTATTAAAATTTAAATTTTGTCTAAAAAGATTATAAACACAATAATAAAAATATTTTTAAAAATTGTTGAAATGGACAATATTTCTGATACAGCTTTTGTGCATATTTTATAACAGTATAAAAATTCTTGTTGAGATAAAAGCTTAATAAAATTGTTATAATATGATACTTTTAGTTGAATAAAGTATGTGTGAATACTTTCATGATCTTTTACAGCATTTGCATACAGTTGCTTTGAAGAAAAAAATTTCTACCTTTGTTCTAATTTTATGCTTAGTTTAAACATTTGATGAATAAAAAATAAAACGAAGGAAGAATCAAACATAACTTCAGAGGGCTAATATTTTCCATAAATGATACCAGGGTTGAAAAGAAGTCAGCTTTTTCTAAAAAAAAAAAGGCAAAATTGGCTGGTTTTTATTCAAAAGTTTTTATTTGCCTTAATCTCCTATTTAAAAACCCAGACTTTATTTGCTTTTTAATATTTTATATTTTATAATTCAAAATCAACATACACATATTTACAATAATTTTATTAATGACTATTCAGTAAAATAATAAGTAAAATATGTTGTATTAATTCTACTTTCATTTAAGAGCAGTTATTCCATAAATTGATTAAATGTTATTATTTTTAATGATGTAATTGCTACTCCAAATTTGCTTCAAAACCAGAAATTTTTGTCTGAAATTGTTTTATATCTATTTTAATCATGTTTTAATTCATCCTAACTGACGCCTGGTGGCGGAATAGTAGCGTTTCTTGCCACAGGTCCTGGGTTCGATCCTCCAACCAGGCAAGGTTGACTTAGCCTTTCATCCCTTCAGTGGGTCAATCGAACAAGTACCAAGCATACTTAGGAACTAAACATTTTCACGCTTGGCTGACAACCCTGCCGGAACATCTGCTCCTTCAATCCAGTGCCCAAGGTTAAGAAAACTGAGATGGGCACAATAGGTCTTGGCCCCTTTTGGACTGTCGTGATACCGAGTTTAGTTTTAAGTGTACTTTAAATTGATTCAGAATAATTAATTTTTAAAACTATACTAAATCTTTTATAAGTTGGGCATTTTCTATAAAACTGTGCATGATTTATATGAAATTATTATTGTATTTTGTTTAAAAAATTGGATAATTAATAATTATAATTTACTTTGTATTACTCATATACTTATGCTGCGTTAAATGAGTTGGTTTTATATTTTAGTTAATTGTAGTTTTGAGTAGTTTAAAATTAGTATTCCATTGTTAAAGCTGTTGCTTCAAACTGTTTTAAAAGTGCAAAGTTAATGTACCAAATTGTTCCCAACATACAATCACATCGATGTAGTAATTAATTAACAGCTTTATATATTTTTTACAATATAAAAGTTTTTGCAAAACATTAGTTCTGATAAAAGAAAGCTTTTCTTAAACTTAGCCGGTCTGTTTCAGGTGGTTTAAGCCAAGAAAAAGAAACAAGCAGCCTTCTTTGGCCTGGCTAAAATCCAGCAACCCAGAATGATACTCTAATTAACGCTACAGTAAATTACATCAAAATATTTAACATTTTTAAAACCTAATTCACTTATCAATGAAATAAACTGTTTTTCCCAAAAGAGAAATTCATCTAAAAGAAAATGGTCTTTAAAACTATAAATCATTCTGCTGAAACTTGCAAATCACAATCAATGTTATCATCTGATCATAGAGATAAACACATCTGAAGTATAATATAAAAGGGAAAAAAAATTTAAATTTAAAATCCAAAATATAAAGCATGAGAATATAAATGTATATGACTTTTACAACTTATAAACTGAAACAAACTATTTTTTAAACATTTGTTTTGCATTTTTAAATTTAGTCTAAAATCTTTTCATGCAATTTTACATGAATTAAGTTTTAAAAAGTTATCAGAATCTTTCAACTAAGAAGGTTGTTTTATAAACAAGTTATGCAACTTTAAAATTTATTTTTCACACATTATAATAACTGTTAGATTTAATTTTAAATGTTTTACAATACTAGTCTATTGAAGCATACAGAAAAACCTGCTTGTTACGCAGGGAAGCAAAAACTAACTGAACTAAGCTGAAAGTTAACTGATTAGAGACTCAATATGTATCACTTGAAAATAGTATAATTATAGTGTTGATACTCATATTTTTACGCATAATGTCATAATATAAATAAAAATTACTTGGTAATTAAAACATACTTTATTTTAAATGGCAAGAAAATTTATTAGAGTATTCAAGTTACATTTCATTTACATTAAACTTAAATGAATTTGAAGTATTTATCAATATATATATATATTTTAAAAATGGTTATGATGTTTTATTTTAAACATTCAATTTTTATTTGAATACTTTTAATTATTTACGTCTTTACAAATAAGGATGTTTTAAAAAGATATAAAACAAGTTAAAATAAAATTTTAACGTTTTTTTAAGGAAAAAGAAGTGTCTTAAAAAGTGGAGATAGTTTCATTCACATTACAATTACATAATATTACAATTTAAATTAAATAATTATCCTTGTAATATAAACATATTTTAAGAGTTTTTTTTACAGGTGTAGCCATTCGAGGCCAATAAGTTCCGTAGTAGAATCTGAGCTGAGAAAAATTTATTACTTCCTACTTATATTTGGCTCATCAGTTATTTCCTTATTATAAGTTTATCAACAAAAAACATGTAGATAACATTGAAACAGAATTTTAATAAGCATAATTGTGCAAATAATACCATGCTTCAAATCAAATTTTTAAAATAAGTATAAGCTGCTTTTTATCCTTTTTATTTAATAAGTAACTTATAATTAGTAAAATCTTTGTATTGGATTTGAAAGATATCCGTTATGAAATTGCAACAAGACTTTAAGAAAAAAACTGTCAATTATTTGAAGAATATCTAACACTTATAATTAAATGATAATCTTCATTAAAAATGTTTTATTTTAAATATTTTTTAAATACATAAAAATGCTCACAAGATTTAATGATAAAAAAAAACATTTTAGCCATTGTCAAAAATTAAATATATCTAACAGTTTAAATTATAGTTTCTCAAGCAAAAATTCCTTCATTATCAACACTCAAACCAATCACTCATCCTCTTTAGAACTCTATGTAGAACCCTTAACAAAGAAGATAAATTACACCACATGGAACTATAAAATTTTTAAGATTAGAAGGTCCAAGGCACATACATATAGAGAGGAGAAAGAATCACTTGGGTCTTTTGTAAAAGATCTCACTATCAAACGTAACAATTTATAAATATGAATTTAGTTATAAATACTATGCTGAAATATATAAAAAACACATAATACAATTGAAAGATTCAAACCATATAAAACATTCACAACCATGCAAAGCATTTGAGACTTAGACAGATGTCTCATAAGTTGCTTTTTTGTCCTCAACAGTAGATTCCACCTGCAGGCAACTAGGCACAGCTGGGACTTTACCATTAGTAAAATGTCTGGATGAGTCATGAGAAGACGAAGCTGTTCTGCTCACGTTCTGTTGTCTGTTGGAGGTTCTAGTTGATATGCTACAACAAAGAATTTATTAGCACCGGGTGTCTTAAAACTGACCTTCCATTTGAAAAATCATTTAAATTAAGAGAGAGAAATTTATGTTAACTCCTTCCTTCTCGCTCCCGTGCAAATGACGGGGTGAGGTTTCGTTCTCTATCTCTCGTTCCCGTGATATTTCCGGGCTGTAGTGTTCAGTAGTAACGCACCAATAAGAATAAAACTAATTCATTTCTTTTGCCCGGAAAACATTTAATTTCTCATTTTACACAACAGATGGCAGTACCAGGATATTTTTCCACCATCAAGAGAATGCAAAGTTTTTTGCTCCAGAAGAGATGAAAACAATAAGAGATGTAGGAAGGAAACTCGGTACTACTGTCCAGATTGTGACGTTGGCCTCTGTATCTCATGCTTTGAAATTTATTACACAAGAAAAAATTACTAAACTGTATTTATTTTATATGTAAGTTTAATAAAATTCGTCTTTAATGTTTAAAACACATATTTTTTAAATTTTACTTGCTTGCTGGGAAACCAACATTAAGTCATAGTAATCCAGAATGTCAGCTTTTCCTAAAAATTTAATTTTTCAAATTTCAACGAAAAACAAATCAAAAATTAAAAATGAATATATATATTGTTCATACACATATTTTTATATAATTTTCATTGATAAAAAAATAGGCACTTTTATGACCGTTTTCTTGAAAATTAACCAATCGTTAAGGGGTTAAGAAAACAATTGAATTTATTGACATCAAATTTTAAAATAAGTTGCAAATTTTGTTAACTGGCGCCTCTATCTGCACTTTAATGAACACAAAAATAACAGTTGAATTTGCAAGCAGACTCTCCCATATGTATAAAGACTCATGGATAGAATTAGACTGAAATTTCGATAATTTACACACTAATAATATACAAACAGTGACAAATAACACTAATTATAATAAGATATTTGTGATGTTGCTACATCACATGTAAGCCAGCAATTCAAAATTCAGAAACTTAAATGAGATAATTTTTTTTCTTAGTTGTAACACTAACTTCTTTAAAATTTATTAACTGAATTTGTTTAGTGAATTGTCAAGTCCTGTTGGCTGCCTCATCGTGGCGAGGGGGTGACCCTGAGTAGAACGGGCGATGTACGTCTGGAGTTTTACTCCTGGAAGGGTCACCCATTGCGAGAAGGCCGTTCCATTACACTCAGCTAAAGTCAACAGGTGAAGAAGCCAAGTCAGACTTCGGCCAGCATGGTGCTCCAGTCATAGGATTTCAGAAGCTGCATTATTACCCCAACCATGAATTTCAGGCCTTGTTCTGACTCTCATATTGCCTCGATTGTCACGCAAGATCGCGTTTGTGGCTTTGGAAGCGGACCATGCTGGAAAAATATACTACCTTCCTCAAGTACTTCCAATGGAACTCTGAAAATCCTTCAATGTAACATCAATGGGGTCTCAACCATAGAGTTGAAATACTGGGTAGAGAGAGTAGAATAACCCCCGACCCGTGGACAAGATAAAGTCACGTGACTGTAGCCCAAACTTGCCGTTCACTGAGACCGCTTCGATTCCCGTCCATTCGTTTAGCATTGCGATCGTCTGATGCAATTAACTGTCTGTCTTTTTAATTCAGAAATAAGAATGGTACAAAAGTCCTGAGCATTTTGCTGCACGGAGAAGTTTTCTAGGGACTGTCCGATAACTTTTTACAAGAAAGGGCGACATTTTTTTTCACTTTTTCTATTTTAAAATTGATTTTAAAATTTTTCCGATACTCAGTCATGCTCTGATAATCATGTTTTATTTGCTTTAATAATCAATTACGCTCGTTTTTGCTCACTTTTTTTGCATTTAACATAAGTTTTTATTGTTTCTTAAACTTTAAACTTATAATGTTTAAGTATATTTCAATATATATTCTATTTTTAGCTGAAATAGCTGCAAAGCTTTGTTGGCTTCCTTGGCGAGATACTTTAGCGCCAAGGAACAGTTGAGTAAACTTTCGGTTTTGTTTTAGTTCTCTTTAAATGTCGATATCATTTCTGTATATTCTGAAGATTNATTTCGTTATCCCAAGCATAACTTGCATTTAACATGCAATTTCTAATAAACATCATTGCATTTTAACCATGATCCCATTTTTACTCCTTTAGCTTATATTTAAATTTTAAAATATCAATTATCTTTATCTTACCTGTAACTGACCTAAGGGTATCTTCACTCCATGTGCGTTAAAGAGTAAAAATGTCATTGTGATTCAAATGCAATAAACTAAATAATTAAGTTAATAAATTTCAAAAAGTTAAAATTAAGACTAAAAATAAAAGAAACTCATTAAAGTAGCTGGATTTAAAATTGTTGGCTTGGCTTACATGTGATGTAACATCATAATATTATTTGCTGTTGAGACATGCACTGCACATCAAAAAATTACAGATGATTAGAAAAACAATTAAATAAAAACAAAGGTACATAGAAATGTATGATTTGTTGCACTTTGCTTTAAATATTTAAAATAAATGCTTTTCTTAAGAAATTATATAAATACATAAACATTTATTAAAAATATACCTTTGCTGTATCTGTGACATCAGTTCTGTAAATTGTATAAAATCTTCTTTGTTAAATTCCTGAATAGAAGAATATACATTTGATAAATATGCATAAAAATACACCGGCAAAATATATCCAGAAAAACTCCTATTTTCTTCATTATAAAGTTGGTCATTCAAAATAAACTATACAAATTCAAAATTAATTTTACTTTAAAAAAAATCTAAAATATCAGTCATGAATGAATGTTTTGCATACTGAATATCATGTAAGGCAGATGGAAAATTTAGTTTATTTTATAACATTATAGAAACTATAAAGAGCAAAATCCAAATCACCATCTAAAATTGATGTGCTTGAGCTTTATCTAAGGGAAAGTAACACAAGTTTTTCCTTATTACATGTCACCTCTCACGCAAATAAAGAAACATTAGTTACAATAAATCTATTAAATAGGTCAAGGGATTACTCGTGTTTTCAAGCTTAGTTTAGGGAAAAACTTCAAATTGTTAGCTTTGCATTTTTAATCTAAATTTAGAACTAAAATAGTAGACGTAAGTTACTAACTATGGAAATGGGTTTTGTTTTGAAGAATGAATTAAAATTAAGAATTTAGACAAAGAAATAACATAAAAAGTTTTGTTAAAACTTTTTATGATGCATACATATCAAGAATAAATTAAGATGCAAAATAAAAACAAAAACTTTCTATTTATCAAAACAAATTTTAATTATTACAAAAAAAGGGAGGGAGAAAGATTATTGTGATTAGATATAACAGAGAGGGAACATTGACCAAATTGAATAAGAACAAAATATTTAGTCTTAGAGCAATACGACTAAACTTAATAAAATTAGTCAGGTAAACTGCTACATTTGTAAAAGGAAAAGTAAGGCTAGTTTTCAAAAATGTTTATTTATTATAATCTAAAGTTATCTTTTAAGCAAACTGATACAATACTTTCCTAAGAATTATTTTCCAAAATGTTTTCACGTGAAATGTAACTATTAAAATGAAAGATGGTAAATGTTATTTTTTGATACGGTAGACAATTTGAATTTTATTATAAATGAAGATCTAAAAACAATTCGTTATTGGTTATTTGATAGTGGTTTCAATCTTAACATCGGTAAAACTAAGAACATGATTTTTTATCTAAAGCAAAATCTTATTGAAAACTTGAAAATAATATACCACAAGACTACTTGTAAATTAAATTTAGCAAAAATTTGCAAACCCCTTGAAAAAATTAATTCAAAAAAGTATTGTAGGCTATATATTGATTAAAATCTTAAATGAAAATCTCATGTTAACCAGGAGTCAAATAGGTTAAGGCTGTAAATTTATCATTTAAAATATAAAGTTAGCATAAATTTTTTTGCAGTCCTTTATTACTTGTGAGTTAATTCGCAAATAAATTATGGTCTTAACGATTTGGGAATGTTATTATACAAATAGTAAAAGACTCGATATACTTCAAAAGAAATTTATGAAGCATATATAATACAATAAATACATATTTCAAATCTTTAAACATTCTTACGATTTATCACCTTTTTTTTGATAAAATCTTTCTACATTTTTAAATTAACCCAAATGTGCAAAAAAAAAATGAAAATATATTAACCCACGGAGAACATAAATCAAAAAACTGATCTCTCACAAAAATATACTGTATAAGAACTTCAGTTATTTAGCTCCCAAACTCTTCAATAGTATTTCCACCAATATGCAAAATGCTCCTAACAAAAACTCATTCATATAGAAATTAAAGCAACTTTTATTTACTAACCCAGGTACCCTAAATATTTTTTTGTTTCTTCATTCTCTTATAAATAATAATAATAAAGGTTGTGCATAATTTAATAGTTATTTGCTTTCACTTTGATATATACTTCTTTTCTATTTTCTCTAAATAACATACTATTTATTAGAGAAACTTATTTAAAAAAATTTATAAATATGGTACTTCTTTTTTAATTTATAATACTTTTTCTCTACATTATGGTTTAGGTTCCTATATAATTTTTCCAAGCATGCTCTTGTTTTGTATTATTAAAATTCTATCATATAACTACATACAGGGTGGATTAAATTAGATTGGCAGTTTTTAAAAATTTATAATTGGAAAACTATTAAATTTAAGAAAACTAATATTGAACCAAAATCATGTGATAGGACATAAATATTTTTCTGCCAGAATTCATCTTTAGCTTAATAAATTGAAAGCAGATGTCAATGCTAATAATAAACCTCTATACTTAAGAAAAACAATTGAATTTTACAACCTGAGTTTTCAATGAAGGTAAATCACAGTAATACACTTTGGAAAAATCCACCATTGGCCACACTCACATTATTATCTGAAGACAAAATTGGCATATAAACAAAAGTGTAGAAGAGACTTACAGCTCCAGATACAGGAAAAATTTTGAACTTAAACTAGGAAAACTGGGTGAAAAGATTTAGACCATGTTACATGAATCCACTGCAAGATTTTATTTTTCTTTTCATCTCAACTATTTTCCTGATAAATTTTTGAAAATTATCAAATCCTGTACATATATTGAAGAATATACAACACAATATGCATTTTAATAAAACAAACTTCCAAACAAATTTCAGCCATCTTAATTTTATTTCTTTAGGTCAAATAGAGGAAATAAAATTTTGGGTTGAAACTTAAAAAATATATGACAACTGAATCATGACTTATTTACAACACAATATATAATTGGGTATACAATTACACATTTAAATTCAACTATGAGCACATAAATTTATTTTTCAAAATAACACTATACAGTAATTCTTACCATGGGTTCATGCCTGGCTATCTCAAATAAATCACAGTACTTCTGAATGGTAGCAATTTCTAACTGACCAAAAAGGCCACTTTGAAAAAGTCGAACTAGGAAAACCCTATAATCTTGATTATACGGGCGAATACGAGATGGGTCGGCAGACAATATTGCAGCATCTGTTGTATAAAAATAAAAATATTAATGGATAAAGTGAAAGCTATAATATATTACAAACTTACTTTTGAAATAAGTTACAGGTAATAGTGTGCATTGTAAGCCCTAATTTGAAAAGAATCAAGGGTTTAATAAAAAAACTGCTTAATAAATGACAATTTAAAGCTAAAAATCCAATATAAAATTTCGTTATCCCAAACATAACTTGCATTTAACATGCAATTTCTAATAAACATCAGGAGAATATTTTATTAAATTAATGAAAATTTCATTCCCTTAGAAAGGATTTAAAAATCCTTATCTTCAATCGTTAAAATATTCTATGTTAAAGTAAAACATTCCCGCAACAGTTGTGGACAAAGGGGATCATGCCTCCATGATCCCCCTAACTGTAAGGCACCAAAATTTCTTAATCAATGACATAATTGCAGCAATGTGGTCAGCATTGTGCACAGGACGCTTTTACTTCCCAAACAAGCTACTATTAGTCGATCTGAAGCTGGATGGGCTACTACTGAAGCTGGAGTCACTACTGGGGATCGAACCCCAGTTCTTCACAATTACAGTTTAATGCCTTAACCACTGAGCTATTGCAGTTACTTTACATATATGATAAAACTCTATGTAGATCAATGAAAAACAACAATGCAAGGTTCATCATCTGTTTTTCTCGTCACAAGCAGGAAATTTTTTTTTTTTTAGGTTTACGTACTTTTGAAGCCTACATTTTTGGGCTTATAATGTACATACATGTAAATAAAGAAATAACTAAAATAATCTAGATATTACATTTGATAGTAACAAAACAAATTGTAATGACATAATTTTTGATAACAAGCAAGTTGAACAAAAAGAATTTGCCTCTTTTTTATCTAATTCAGTAGGATAAATTTTAACGTGATGGGTATAATTTAAATAGTCTTTTCTAATATTTGCTCAAACATGATCGTCTTTGCACTGGGTGGAATCAGTCAAACATAACATTTGAAATTTAACACAAAACATAACAGCCTGGTTTGATTTGTAATGGGAATATTTTTTTTTTAATGTTTATCATTTATTAGTCTCAAAATTAAAAGCACCAATACACCTAGTCAAATACCAATGAATTTTAAATGTCATACACTAAAAATTACTTAAGATAAAAAGACTAAAGTAATTGTGTACAAGCTTTCAAATTTACCTAAAGTAGAAATTGAATCTAAAGCTTTCATTCTATATATGTGGACAGGTCCTGAAAATTAAAGAAATACATATTCAGAAAAAATTTCAAAGCCATAAACAAATTAAGCACATAGTTTTCACATTAATAAATGAAAAATAAATAAAATATACAGAAGTTCATTGTTTAAAAAAAAGGCACACACTGTATAATTTTTCATCTAATAATCAGAATCAGCTTTTTATGCACTCACATATTACAATTTTAATAATTTATGAGGAATTGAACTTAAATTCACTAAACTGTTTAGCGAAAATAATATTTTTAGTTATAAAATCAAATACAAAAATGTACAATCTCTGAATAAACATATGGTATATTTCAGTGTTTAAGTCTATATTTTAAACCACGAAAATTTTACAAAAATCAGGAAATCGACTCGGTGACACAAGTGAAAAAGCTGGACATTCATGGATCATGAAAAAGTGATGCATTACAAACAATGAATAACATATGTAATGAATAATAGATATGATTGACAATGAATGATAGATATGAATGACTCTATATGAATTAATCGCTTTCAAAAATTATTTTTAATATGGTAAAAGACAGTTTTGCATTTTCTCTTATCATATTTTCTTTACATATAAAGGTTTTTTTAGAAATGATAAATTTTATTACTTTCAGAAAAAATTAAAAATAAGTAAACTTACTATCAATTTTTCAAGAGTGTTTCAAGACAACATTACACTCTTGAGTAAACTATTAGAACCATATTCTTTGAAATGTAATTACCTTCTTATTTCAGAGGGGAAAAATCCAATCCAAAAAATATATGTTTAATCAGAGGCAGTGCATTTTCATATCTGATTTAATGTCTTAATAAACTGATAGTTTGCAACGCTTAAAGATTTTCCTATCCCTGTTGTTTTAATTGTCAAAAAAATCAGTATTGTCTCCTGTTAATTATAGAAAAAGTTCTATATCAAAGAGAAATAGTCATATCAGTTAGCCTAATTGGCTAATACTCAATAAAAATATTGTAAAACAAGTTAATTGTTACATATAAACATCCAAGCATTGAGTACTGAAATTTCCTAGCTAAGCACTAATTTTCCATTGAATTATATAGGTTAAATTATTTTTCAGGCAAGAAAGATAGAACAAATGTGCAGATGATTCATTGGGTATATTCAAACTCATTAAGAAAGCCAATTACTGACAGGCTTAACATAACTGTCAATTTATGAATGAGGGATGCAAACTGTTTATACTTTGCAAATAGACCTACTGGGCTTCATCAACTTACTATTTGTCTAGGCAGTTGATTGGATCTCAGAATTTTAGCATATAGTAGTAGGAATAATTTTTGAGAATCTTAAAGGAATATTAAATTAATTATTGCAAAAGTTTAAATGTGAATTGAAATTTTTTCAATATATATATATATACATATATATGTGTGTGTGTATACATACAGTACAGAACCATTTATCCGGGACCCAGAAAACCGGGAAATCAGAAAACCGGGAAAAATTTCGCTTCGTTTTCCCGCCATTTTGAACTGGAAGGATGGAGAAAAAATGCGGAAGTGTTACTCATTTTTGAAGTTTAGTAGGAAAAAGGGTGGGTGGGGGGAGTCATATGTCAAGAGAAAACTTGATTATTTCTTCTGTAACCTTGAAGTTCTTTAGGACGGGAAGGGGCCGGAAAAGGGGAAACTTTTTACTTTCATCCCTGCATTCCCAAGAATTTGTGGTTTTCAGATAAGCTACCGTCAATCAAAAAGGGAGTGGCATGCTGTTTTCGTTTTCTCTTTGATTTATGTGGGGGGCGGGGAACAAGCATTGCACACGAATATCGTTGAATAGAAGGTGAAAGAGAAATAAAAAGAAAAATATATCCCTATACATTACTAAGTAAAGAAAAAAAAATCTGAAATGGGAGTACAAATTGGAATACGAAAACGATTAAAATTGTACGACAAATTTTAGTTCAATAATAAAGTAAGAATATAGTTAAGTTGATCATTTAAAAAAAGATTA